TCAAAGAGACACCTCGCTTTCAAAACTGAATCCGCGTCAAGTTGAAGCGCGTGAGTCCGTCTGTCTGTGTTTCGTTGAAAGGGCGTAAAGTTTTTACAGTTAAATCTTGCGTTATTCTGAATTGATTCCCATGCAAATTTTTTCAAATAGTTTGATGCTAATTTTGCTCAATTTTGATTGTTTTCTTTGTGGTTGTGTTTACTTGAACAATTTCAATTTTGTGAGTTTGCTTGTGATTTTCGCTTAAATTTAATCCTTTGGTGTGTACAATAGCTTCCAATTCGAAATGCAAATACTTAATGATAACTTAAAATTTAATTTTTACAATTTTGTCGTGGGAATTTCGAAACTTAAATCTACAGAAAATATATATCTCTTAACTCCACCAATCATATATGTATGTATGCGTGTTTATGTAATTATGTCCATAGCTTAAATAATATGTACTTTGTTTTTGTGTGGGTGTTTCTATTTCTTTGCCTGTGTGTCTTGATAAGAAGTAAATGCTTTGTTTTTGTACTTCATAATCTCGGCTTCATGATTAGTTATCCAATTAAGCGCAACATATGATTAGTAAAGTAGTGTGGCACATGGCTTTCCTCTTAATTTGCTGTTACTTGTGTGTTATTGTTGTTATTATTCTTGTAGTGGTTAGTTTGGAGGTTAAAGCAAGCGCTCGGTGTGATGTGTGGGAATGTTGGAAACGCATTCGTTGGTGTGGTTAATTGTGTGTGTGCTTGTGTGAGTGGTAAAGAGTGGGTGCATGAGTGGGTTAGTGAATTGGTATGGACCCTGAGAGCGTGTGTTAGTAAAGAGCAAGTGTGAGTGCGTGTGAACGTGGATCTTCGAGGGGTTGCACTTGCAACAGCAAATGTTGCATAATTTAGTTTTTTTTGCGTTAACTGCGCTTATTGCTGCCAAGCAGTTATTTTAATATTGTATATAGGTGTATAGGCTTATGTATGTGTGTTCGTGTTTGCGGGGCTGTGTGGTTAATAACAATTATTTGGTTTGTTCTCGTTCGCCGCCGTGGGGTTAACGGTTTTGAGCAAGRAAATTTGCATCGACTAATATTTTAGAGTGCCAATTGTTTGGGGGCGGTTTGGGGCGTCGAGGGGAGAAAGTGCGAGGTTAGCTGGTCTTTTACTCTAACACGCTTGCTTCACTTTACAGCCAATCTTTATAACTTTGCAAACAAGTAATTTAATTGAATAAAAAATAATTATATAACAAACAAAAAAAAACATAATTTTGTTCCTGCCTTTGTTTTTGTWGTTTCTATATGCTGTGCTCACTCTTGTATTCGTACGAAAGTAAGTGCGCGCCAATTTGCACACATTAGGGGGGTTCAGGTGCGACCTGTTCGAGTGTTCTCCATACACACACATGAATATGTATGCATGTTCTTAAGTATTTCCTATACACATGTATAACATTTATTGCAGACGAACACAAGTTAATGTCTTTGAGTTAGTTATTAGGGATATTAAATCACAACGTAAATTTGTATGAGTGATGATTGTAAGCAAGTAAAAAAAAAAAAAGAAAAAACGTAAAATATTGAATATTAAAAACACGTATGAAACGCAAAAGGCGATCACTGTACAACAAAGCTGTATGTGTTACTGGGAAGTGTGGCTTCTTATGGCACGCACCTTCCCTTCACTTTTCACTCATTAATTAATTAAACAAACAAAACATTTAGAATAACAAGTATATATTTTTAGGCATAGCCCAAGGGTTAACAAACGATCAGTATTGCATTTGTAATAATTTCGAAATCAAAATGCGTTCGCTCTGCTGACACATAGTTTTCTATAGCAATTATATACTGATTAAAACACACATACATGACGTGAAATTTCCATTGTAAATAGTTAAAAGTGTGTGGTTGTATGTGTGTGTGTGTGTGTGTGAATTTTAAAGCAAAATGGTAACAATTATCACACTTATTTCAAACGAAAATTGAAACACACTTGACTCATGGCTGCGAAGAAACGCTTTTCAGTTCAAACATCGACAAATAAAAAGGAGTTACTTAAATCAAAAGTTTCTCTAATTAATTTGGCGCCTTGTTGTTGGCCGGCTCAATTCATACGAACAAATATTTATGTATGTAAATCTAGTGAAGTACAAAATAGGCGGAATACGTGTAATGTTGCGAAACTAAACATTCAAAACAATATATGTGTGTGTGTATGTATGCGTGTGCGCATGTTTGTACAGAACACAAAAGTATGCAATTACAGTTAGTAAAAAATTGGTAATATAACGAAAACATAGACAACGAAAAATGTCGAAAATATCACAAATATATTTATATTTACTCTTAGACACGTACGAATATGAATGAGTAAGTAAGAGGAGAAAATTTTCATTTCTTTATATGCCATAAAATACGAATACAAAATTAGCACACAAAAACAAATATCACGGAAAATATATATTTGGGCTTTTCACTCTATGCCGGTGCTGCCGCTCTTGAGCGTAGCAGCTTTGCTAAGCAAATGTTCCCGCGAATTTCGAACACTTGCTGACATTTCAATATTTTGTTTGCGAATTTCATACTCTGTTTATATTGATCTTTCTATTGCTCGCGCGTAGCCTACAAACGTTTGCGTTGACATTGGGAGAGGCTTTTGGAAAGGTTGCGAACCGCGTGTTATGCAAGGGCAGGCGTTAATACTTCTTGTGAACGGAATGCAACGAGGACGGCTCATTATTTAAGTCTCGTGAAGACTGTTTTTTACACTTTTTAAACCTTATAGTAAAATGACCATGGAGACGACTCATATGAATGTAGATGAATGAGCGAAGAAGTGGACTGGAAGCAGAGGCGTTTGAACACCAACGAGAACAGCCCAACACACAACACTTATCGAGCAGGCAGCAACACACACATACATGTGTGCAGCTTTGGTGTCGCTATTGTGCGTAAGTGAGTTGGTGTCTAAATAAACTACAAATGAACTTGAATAAATACGCCGAAAGTGTGAAACTTGTTGCGCGGCAGTTATTTTGCGTTGCCACAGCTTAATTAGTCGTTAAAACGCCTGTGTGTATGCAATAAAATTGGTGCGAACACTTTGAAATATTGTATGCGTGCGCTTGTGTGTGCTTAGCTAATCAAAATTGAAGTTAAACACTTTTGCGCCGATTAACGCAGACATAAAAGCAAATGCTGACGCCACATACGCCACATACGCCACAAGTCTGCTCCAATCGGCTGCCAGTGTGTGGCAAGTGTGAAGCGTAAAGCGCAAAGCTGCAGTAGCCGCAAGCCACAGCAACGAACACACATACACACGCACGCACGCGCATAAAACATGCGTAATCTCTATTTTACACTTTCACCAGCACCGCACTTGTGTTTGCTTGTGTGGCGGCGGGCAAAATTTTCACATTCACTTAAATAGACAAAACTTTTGCATTGCCGCACACTCGCTCACATGTGTCTGCCGCGCGCGCAGTTGGGGCAAATTGTTGAGGTCGGCCGCAACATAAAGGCATCAATTAAAATTTCTCCACACGCTCAATGGCAAATGGGAGCAGATAGTTGTTAGAAATCGGGAGGCGATAGCAGACAGGCGGCCCGTTGCGATATCAACACGTGTTGACTGACTGCTTGTCTGCCGGCGCGCTAAGCTAGCGAGTGATGAGCGGCAAGTGCGCGCTAAATAAGTGATGAGCCTGTGGCAAGGCGCACATGTGGCATACGTTGGGAGCAACTCCGGCGCATATTAGGGAATTGCGCGGTGCCGGGAGCAGTTGGCAGCCTGCTAAGATTTGAAGTGCGGAAGTGTTGTTTGTCAGTTATTGCCATCATCGATGTGGCGCTTATGGTTATTATTGTTGTGATTTGCGTTTTGTTTGTGTTATTGCAATGCGGCACATCGGTTAATTAATTCGAGCACAGTCAGCTGATTGCTCGGTTCTTTGCCAGCGCTAATCTATATTGTAATGGTGGATTTCGGGAATTTTTCAAACGCGTTTGTATTCGCTTCTCTTCCTCTTCTTCACTTTCACATTGTTTCAGTTATATATTTTTAAATACTAATTATTGACTCTACGCTCTATGGTCCTTCTACCATTCTACGCTCATGAAGGGGATTCAAATGAAATGAGTATTTACCATCGAAACAATCAAACAAGAAAGAAATTTTCTGCTGCTTACGTAATTCTCTTTTTCTTCTCATTTACCAACCAAATACTTAGCGACTTAGATGATCTTAATTCATGAAATGTATCTATTTTTAGTTCAAAGTGCTGGAAACCGATGGAAAATACCGGTGAACGCAGTGCTCCAGAAGCGGTGCACCAAATAACTGATGAATCTCATACAGTAAATGTGAGTGTGTGCTCGAGGCATTTGGAACTGTTTCTACATATGCTGTGGCATGTATAGTGGGTATGTATGCATGTGGAAATTAAACACCAAAGCGATGAGTTATGGCGAACAAATTCACTTTGCATTCACTTCCATCGAGAGAGTGCTTAAATTAGTAGTGAAATTGTTAGGAGATGTGCATTGAAAATCCATTAAAAGTCTACGAGATGAATTGGTGCATTAATGAAGCGTGTAGCCACGTTAAAATTTAGAAAAAGTCTTCATATTTCTTCCTTTGCCACTGCGTTCCAGGCATTTTTATATAATATTTATATATTTCTATTTTTTCTACATATTTCGGAAGTTTTCGAATTATTTCTATTTTTTTTTTTTTCTGATTCCCTAGTCTCTTTCGAGTTTTCCTCACAAAGTCGGTTTAAATTAAATAAATAAACCAAAAGTTAAATTAATGAAAAAAATTAACTGTAATTATCATGTAAAAGAATTTTATGGGTTATTGCAATTTTCTCAAAAATTTTCCGTAGTTATAAATGTAATAAAACATAATTAATTAATTAATATTTGCATTTGATGTAAAAATGTAAAGGAATGAATTTGAATTGAAATGTTCGGAAAGAGCGAGTAGTAGTATGTATGGAAGCGGCGTACTCACCTTGCGGAGAAACTGATATTTCGGCGGCTGACTGTAGTTGCGAGTTAAAACCTGAAAGTGAAAGGTAAAGAATTTTGAAATTTCTGCAAAATCTACAACTCCGAAAGGAATGTTCTTTAGTTCGACCTTAAAAGCTTCACAGCACCAGATTGAGCTTTTGTGCAAGTTAAGCTTTCGAATGGTGTGAAAGCTCTAGTGCATTCACTTACCAGCTAACGTGGCAGGATCTAGACCGCTCATGGGAAAATTGAAGGCGGCCGGTGAAAATAATTTGCTCTCTGCCGGTGACATCAGATATGGGGGTGGAGGATGTGTTGGCATATTGTTATCAATCTCCTCATCGTTTCCCGAACTGTTATATATATTGCCGATTAGTTTCTAGTTAGTAGAAGTCGCTGTCACCGCTTTTACTCACCTCAAAGAACCTTTGCCGCCATCACCGCTGCTAGATCGGTTCGCTTCATGCTCACCAGTCGAGTCGTTACTGTGCTCATCGACTACTGTCGGATTGTTATTCGAGCATACCAGTTCCATGGGTTCCGATTTGACATCGTCGACGGTGCGTGTTAGCGGCGAGGATGTTAAGCTACCGCTCACTTTGTCATTATTTGCGATACCGTTTCCATTGCCAGTGTCCGAGTTGCCATTGCCACTATTGCCGTTATTACCAGTTGGTCCATTACCTAAAAATTATAAGTTTTGTTAGACTTCATCTCAATTCTATTACACTCTGAACCACAGACTTACGTTTGTCTTCCTTCAGCGGCGGTGTGTTGTTATTATTGTGCTTTATGGTAGAGAAATCAGCCGGTGTCAATTGCGGTGATGCGCTGCGTTGATGTACAATTTCGGGACTATTGTTGTTGCTAGACGGCAAGCCGTTGTCCGGTCCACGCAGACGTTTCATGGCATTATTCGAGTCCTCGGCCGATGGTGTGGAGTTGTTCCTCTCGCGACGTAGCATGGCCATGCTGCGCTTAAACAACTGGCTGTTGATGTGTGTGGATGCCAATGGCAGCTGTTGGGATGGTGGGGGTGGCGGTGGTGAGCCGCTGTTGCGTGGGTATAGCGGCGGCTCATCGAGCAATGTGTGGTGTGAGTTAAGTGGAGTGCGTGTGGCATTAGCGGCATTCGCCAGATTTTGTATTTGAGCTAATTGCTGTGGGATGCAAGCAGAAATGTTTTTGTGAAAAAGTTAATAATCACCTTTGTCACTTGATTATGTCTACTTACACTATGGGTTTCCTCGGCCTGCTGTTGTGTGAGACCCGAGACTCGAAGTACCTCTGCCGTCTTAAGGAAGGACTGCAAAGACTTTTGATGCACGTTAACCTCACCGTGATAAATGAATTCCACCAACGAGTGTAGATCGAGAAAGTTGACATCCTGGAGCAGGATCACTGGATGCTTGCAAGGTGTACTCTGAAACAGACAAAGAAAATGGGAAATTAATGAATGTACAATGTCACACTCAATCAGTTTATGAGTGTCAGTTGTAAGGTATTATAGAAACTAGTAAAGTGGGAGTGGTTTGTGGATACTTCAAGGCAAGACCTGCGCATTCATCATTAGTGTATGACAGCCGCATTGATTTGAAGTTGGCAAATGCTTGTGAAGTGCGACGCACAATTAATCGCAGTAGACAGCTACATATGTAGATGGCATGTATATATATACACATATTCATACTACATATGTATAACCCCTCAATTGGAGTGAGTTTATGTGCTTTTATTCAATTGGCGCGTTTTGAAGTAGTTTTGAAATGCACAAACCTGCGATTGTGTGCGTGAGTATACAGCACTTCATGGTCATGGCGCAACAACAATGCAAAAAAGCTGAAGTACCTGATTTGTGCGTGGCCTGTTTGCTTAACGATGAACACACACATATGTACATATATATGTAAAGGCATGTGAGCATAATGCGCCTGTGTGCGATCACTAATGTGCTTTGCTTTTTGCTTCTGCCATTGGCAGCGTTTGTAACGATTGTGTGACGACAGCGTAATCCGAGGCAAGCAGAGGTGAACACGAGGGGCCGTCGGTCCGGTGGTGTGTCTGACGCCAGAAAGACAACCAAGGTACTTGCTCGCATAGGAGCTTTAGGCTGCTTGCGCAAAATCACAAACTGGCTATTATCGCAGCCGACTAGGGCTGTCATGTCTACACTCTTGTCTCTCCGCTAGCCGCAATTGTGTAAATATGCATGAGTATGTGCAGCTCTTCACTTGTACTGCCAGCAGCAAAGCGCAGTATTTGGTAGTTACCTTATATATTTACATAGTGTATATACACATTATGTATATTCGCAATGTACGCACAAATTAATAGCAGCCGCAGTGATCGGTCCCATCGCACTCGGCGCAGTTGCAGCAGCGCTGCCTCAGCAAAAAATGCAATTGAACTGCACAAATAGCAACAACACACATCGAACACTTGGCAACGATCGCTGTTGCATTGTGCCTCGAAATTAGGTCAGCGAATAATAAAAGCATAAAGGCAAAAACTGATGCTTCACTGCGTGTATGCCAACATATGTAGGTATGTATGTAAGTATGTGAAGATGTGCAGTAGCGGAGCGCTGTCAAAGGCGCACGACTAACCGAACACATAATCGACGGCTGAGATACTACACTAGTAACTCAGCGACGATCTTGTTGCTCTGCAGCTTCGGTCTGTTTGCGCCCATCTTTTTCAGTTTATCGCCTACCCACCACTCCCCACCAGCTAGTATTATTTTTAACACTGCCACAGCAACGCTTACTAAGCACACATACACATTCATGTAGACTTTTTCGCTCGTTTGTGCATTTGTATTTTGGCTTGGCGTTTCGCTATTTAATGGACTTCTTGCAAAGGATTGCTACTATTTTTACTGATTTGTGGCACGATCGCCAAGGAGATATCACTGTGTGATCGTGAAGGGGCGGTTGCTAGTGGAGACGCTTGTGGAGTGTGTTGTTGTTGGGTTGATGCGCGCCGCTTTGCAAGTTTGGGAAAATGAGGTCAGCAGTCGATTGCGAATCTGGCTTAGTATATATTTGCAAATAGGCGCACACGCGCACGCACACCAACGCAGGCGACGTACGAATGCGTGTGAAATGCATTCAAGCGCCCGTGTCATGTTTTGTTGTATTGTTTTGCTCACATCTTGGCCTTTGGAATTTATTTGCGATTGTAAATTACCGTTTATGATCTATAGAAAGTGGGACAGCAGCGAGATTGCTTTTTAAAAAACGTACACACACATATACATATATACTTATATGTTCCATACAGTAAGCATTTGTGTGCGTAAATGGCATTTGTCTTGATATAATACCAGAAAATAGTAAAAAGTAAGCTTAAGTAAATGATGAAGCGAAATAATAAAAAGTCACACAAATGAAAATGGAATAACAGTGTTACCAGATGTATAAAAAATTTTAGGGTTCATAAAGCAGCAATACCTTTGAAACTTCCACAAGCGTCCGGTCTCTACTGATATTACAAGAGAGGGTTCTAGGTTCGTTTGAAACATGCGCAGTTTTGCACTGCCGTCTAACATAACTGCAGGGTTTTTGATCCTACAGACTATCCGGTTCGCAATAATATTATTAGGCGGGCGATCATTTATAGGAATAAGTTAAATTTAACCAAGTGCACTCATTTGGACATTTTTCTCTTGCGCGAAGGCACAGAGCACAGCTCGATCCAGCTCCCATGGCGAGCCAAACAATGAAATTAAATATGGCCGAGTGTCGCTTTACAATTCAGTTTGTTTTGCTTGTTTGGATTGGCCAACTACACGGATTTGTAGTTAAAATAAGGCGAGAAATAAAATGAAAAATGCTCAAACATACAACACAAAACGAGTGCGGGCCGCTGGACATAGCGACACGAATTCAACTAACTTTCTGGCTCTTTTGCCGTTAGTCGTCACTTTGTTGCAGGGTGTGACTGAGTGTTTGAGACTTATTTAAGTGCCACTATTGCATCGGCCATTGTTCGGCGCCTGTTTTTGTGCCATTTTATGTAATTCCGTATTTGTGCATTTTAGCGCTTTAGTTCAAATGCTTTTATGCCAAATTTGCTGCACTACAAGTGCGTCCGTTTGCCTGTGCCTATTTGCTGGTTGCGCCAGTGCTCAGCACTGTCGTATTGCAGTTTAAACCTAATTAAAATAATGCAGCAGTTAATTAAATATTTATGCACCGAGTGGATACTTTAGCCACTTTCTAGCCACTTCAATAAAACGCCACTCACCCCCGACGCGCCGCCAGGCGGCAAAGCGTGTTATGTTGTAGCGCCCAGGGCTGCTGGGCAGCGCTGTTATTTGGATGCGGACCCATGTGACAGTGGGACAAAACGAGAGAAAATCCGGCATGAAAACAACATTAGGAGATTATTTACAAATATTTCTCAACCATACTCCAAGAGGGCAAGTAGATGGAATATCTTTAAACCTTTTTTCTAATGGTGAGTACCTCATTACTAGATTCCTAGTACAGTCACAGAGGACAGAGGACGGTCGTTGTTACGAAAGTCGCTCCACTGCGCAAAGGTTTCTGGTCGCTTGTTTGTTTTTATAACGGTAATGCCTAGTAAATACAAAAACAGCAAAAGCTGCCACTTCTATTGCCAATAAAGTTTTGCCTGCCAAGGCTGGGTTCATTACTTTTGTTGCCATTGTCCGAGACACGGCCGCTACCCTGTAATCTTGTGCGCCCTATTCTCACCCCTCCTTTCTACTGCAATTGTTGTGCATTTATTTTGTTATTTAGCAAATTAAATGTTGTCCCTTCTCATATTGTAGTGCCTTCAATTTCCCGTGCTATGTGTGTGTGTGTCTGTGCGCAGTGTCATGACTTGTTCGCTCTTATTTGAAAAAGTGTGTTCTTCACTTCGCTTCGCTTCACTATTTTTGCATAAGTAGGCAGGCTGCCGCTGGCCTGAGTGCTGACACTGCAACTGACTACACTTTTTTGCGCTGATTTATTTAATTTTTTCGACTTTTCGACGAGTTGTTAATCAGCAGTTGTGTTGTTGCTATATTTTGCACATGCAAAACTTTTAACAATTTAGTGCATGCTTCTTTGTATAGTTCTTTCTTTGAGTTTCTTCTGCTTTCAATCGTTCCGCCATAGATCTAATGTGAAGGCAATAATTAACTTGGCAACGGAATAGTCAACTTGGCGATACTTTGGACAATTGCGACTTATATACTACTTTTAAGGTTATTATACAACTTAAATTGATTTATTGTTATAAGTTCCGTTACAGCGAGTTTGGCGCTTGGAGGTGAACTGCGATTCGCAATTAAAATTAATCCACATTTGCTTGAGTGATACTCTATAATTTCATGCCTTAGGGTAAATGATTACAATAAACGCGAAGCAATCACCAAACGTGTGAGAAAATCGAATGAAAATATGTAGATAAATAATTTTTCTTTTTTAATTTTGGTTAAGTCGTGGGTTTATGTAAAAGTTATCTCATGTTATGTTATGTATGTTAGGTTATATTATGTTATATTATGTTATGTTATGTTAGGTTGTGTTAAGTTATGTTATGTCATGCTATATTATGTTATGTTATGTCAGGTAAAATTATTGAGCCCTCTTCGAACGATTTATTCTATCTTTCGGTATACTAAAGACAATATATCACTTTTATGTGCAATAAATATTTTGAAAGTAAGTTTTATTGGAGGGCAATAATTTTGCTAAATCTAGTTCATTTAATTAAACCCAGTACTTTACAAGCGAATTTGCATACAAATGCTACGCTAGTATAATGCAAATATGAAGTAGGGAGTGAATATGAACGCATTGCAGCAACGTTTGTGACCTTTTCTTCACAGCCGTACGTGGAGTCGTTAAATCAGTTTTATTGCAGACGAACTTTTGCATTATTAAATTCTTTGCAAATATTTTTAAAATTCTGTTTATTGCTATGCCCGTTTATCACGACGCTTTTCAACTCCGCCCAGTAGAAATTACTTGCTTATGAGCACACACACACACACACACACACGCATTCGTGCTTTTGTAAAGTATCTATGTATGTGTTTATGCAATAAAAATAATTCAGCAATTCATTATAAGTTGCATGCGAGTCGAATGCGGCTATTGCTTTATGTATATGTATGTATGTGTGTGTGTGCGTCACATTAGACAAAACGGTAAATGGCCAAAGATACATAGATCCTCGTACGCCTACCGGTGCTCTTGCCGCCACGCCCCGCCCCGCTTCGCCGATCACTTTGCTAGTTAATCCTTTCGGCGCAGAATTTGTTTGTTGCTAAAACTTTTAACTTTGTACATGTGTGTGTGTGTGTATGTGCGCATAACCGCATATTTTTCGATTTTCCTTTTTCAAATATTCAGCAAACAGCTTTCTTCATGCAAATGCACATACAATGGTGTTTATGTGTGTGTGTGTGTGTGTATGTGTATGTACGAATTCGCCTGCCCTATTGGTTGCCGAAGTTTTAGTGGTGTTTGTTGTTGTTGTGTGGCGCAAAGCAAACTTTAATGGCAACCTAATTAATAAAACGAATATATTTAAAATTTGAAATTTCCGTGCAGCGATCCTCGCCCTACGGCACTCGCCACTCGTAGGCCAAAGTTTTGCGATTTGGCGAAGCCGCCGCCGCCGCCGCTCGTCGCTCGCCGATGCGCCTTATTTCTAGTCGCTTTTTGTGTAATTTTTGCAGTGACTCTACTTAATTTGCATCGCTGTGCCATTATTTCATAGCTCACTTTTACCCTGTCTCCGCGCCCCACTCTTGTTGTTGCTTTTGTTGTCGTATTTTATGCCGTTGTATTTTTTGTTAACTGTTAAATTTATTTAGTCGGTTCTTCTTTGTTTATTATAACGCAACACACACACTTACATATGCGGATGGTGGCTAGGTGAGGCGAGGAGTTGGCGTGTGTGGCGTATTGAAAGAAGTCTGCTGGGATTTTCTTGTCTTTCGGTGGCATTTGCAGGCAAAGTGTGGCATTGCGCCATCGCTAATGGGCCGTGGGCATGACGAATATTTCGCGAGCTCATTATTACTGTTATTATTTGTGGCTTCCAGCTAATGTTTGATGATAGTGATTACTGCCGCGTTTGCGGTGCTGATGGCTGGTGGCGTTGAGGTCCTCCATAACGATGCATGCGGCATTATTTCTATTACGCCCATTCTACCCATAAATACCTCTACACAGCGAAAGTATTTGAGGCGGCGTATGTTGCATGCGTTTGTGCTTTACAGTGCAAACGAATTTGTTGGTATTTTCGGGGTCACCCACTGAGATCTGGAGTCTCTTGTTGTTTGGAAGGGGGTTGGCACAAGAAAGGCTCAGTGCGAGTTTTGCCTAAGAATTTACCAGTTGCGTTTCCACCGTCAGTTACAAAGGGAGCAACAACTTCGGAAAACTCTTTGCGAAATAACAAAAATTACGTCCCGCCGCCCCGCCTACTAACATCCGCCACAGTGAGCGGCTGAGGCGCCTAATGCATTTTGAATATTTGCCGGCATTGAGACATTAAACTCTACCAAAGTTGGCTGCTTGTGGTGGTGGCGGAAGCGGAGTCAGCGGGGAATGCAGTTTGTTGCAAGTATAGATTGCGGAAGTGTGCACGCAATTGTGGCTTTGGGGCAAACAAAAGGGGTAGGCTATGGCACCTAAAAGCATTCCGCGCTGGTGAATGTGTGTGTGTGTGTGTGTGTGTGCATACTGGAAAGGCTGCAGCAAAAAAAGGAGAGAACAACGAACAACCGTACAACATGACACAAAGCGGAAACTTTTTGCCACTGAGCTGCCATCAGCGTCAAATAATAATCGTTAGCAAATTTCCGACATTGCGGTTGCATGCCGCACATGTGCATTGCAGACAAAATGGCTCACCCTCACACACATACACCCATTAGTTGCCTCTGAAATTCAACTCGAATGCAGAATTGCTCACTTGGATGCCGCATAAGCATTTGGGCGTTGCACGTTGGGTGTGGCAAGCACTGTGTAGACAGATTGTATGCATTTAACGATTTTGAAGACCACCCAACGGACTCAAGTGACTTACCACAAACACATATAAATGCAGTTTGTTATTTTAATTGAAACTGCGGACTAATTTCATTTTATTGTGGTTGCACGTTTTTGTTGTTGCAGCAAGCAAACATTTATGCAGTCTATTTGATTTGTGTGACTGCTGGTACCTCGCTGTTGCATGTGGCACAGTTGCGTGTTGTGGCAATTGTTTAATTGTATTTTTATTGTCCCTGTTGTTGTTGTTGAAATCTGCAAATAACTTGTGTGCATAATAAGTCAACATTTTACCTGTCTTGCACCGATTTTAGAGTCACTTTCAAATAAGTAGCCGTGCAAGTGCCACACACACACACATAAATACACTGGCTGGAGTTAACGGTTATATGCATCAGTGTGCATACATACGAATCCAAAGATACTCATATTACTTTAGTGCAGATATGTGCTTTCATTGTCTCCCAGCAACCGAGTAGCGCTGCCACATCGCACATAAGTAGGTCACATTGTCGTGGCAGCGGCGGCAGAAATTCGCAATCTGCCTCAGCACATACTCAATGGCTCTCCGCCTATATAATTATGCATCCTCTGCGCTTTTCCCCTCAGCTTCCCATGCGGGGCTGGGTCGGGAAGGCGAAAAGGTTTGCACTGCAGCCGCATCTTCTTCTCTGCTTTCATTTTATCTCCATAATCTTCCCAACTTCGCTTTCCTTGTTTCCTATTCGCCATCGTTTTTGCGCGACTGATCTTCGACCGATTTGCTCTCTGGTGGCTGAGGTGTTGTCTCTCCTTCGCGATATTCAGGGTGAGCCAGTTTGCATTCTGCCCTTGTATTTTCGCACTATATTTCTGCCATCTACTTTTTATCGCATTTTCTACTCATAAAACGATAAAAAATGCAATTTACGCCTTATATTTATATACACAAGCGTTTCCCTTGTGATTTTCTGTTTCTTATGTTTGCTCAGCGTTTGGCAAATACACATGAACGCGCATTATACGACTTTGCCTTTACTTCTGTTTTCGTTTTCCCCGCGCCACTTGGCCCTGTCATTAGGTAGTGCAATCGCCGCTTTTGCTTTATTATAATATTTCGATTTCTTAACACGTTTTCATTTACAAGTCCCTTTGTATGGCAAATGAATACACTGCTGTTTGCCCAACATATTTAAAGATATATATGTAGACATATGTATATGTACAATAGTATGTGTATGAATGTGCTCCTAACTAATAAAAATTTGTACTTTATGTGCGAAGTGTCCTCGAAAAAATATATACGAGTATGTGAGTTGGTCATTGCTGTTGAAGCCGCCGACAGCGATCGGTGGCTGTGAGAAAGCTATGCGAACAAATATACTAAGACAAAGTAACAAACTTCGGTTTCCATTCGTTAGACTTTTCAGTTTTATGCCGCATCTGAACGCTCTGTCCGAGAATAATATTAATACTTGACTAGAATAGATACATTGGATATTCATATGTTTATCCATTCATCAATGCCACGATGTTTGCAACACCCAAAAGAAAACATAGAGAGTCGATTTAACCATGTCAGTCTGTATATAGGCGAGCTACTCCTTCAGTTTTTGAAATATCGGTTTGAAATTTTGCCCCGCTCTTGTTTCAAATCAAGAAGCTGCTCACAAAGAGCTAGTAAGGAACACTTTTTCATTTAAGGAGATATTTTTACGGAATTTTGCATCGAATACTGTTTTAGACGATGATGCTGTCCTCACAGACATTGTTCAAATCGAGTCAATAAAGCATATAGGCATACAATCGGTAAGAAATCTTTTGTATTTGTGAAGGGTATTATAGCTTCGGTGCAACTGAAGTTAATGGATTTTTTTTTTGTTTTTTACAAACCTTGTTCAAGGGGCGAAACATTTAATACAAGGTGCCTTTGGAATGCCATTGTTCCTCGGAACGTTTCTATTTAGGTGATTTCATAGCAATCCACCAACAGAAAGATGGTTCCTAAGCACTGAAGTTTTATTACAAAAACCGTAGTGCAAAGCGCTTGCACCAGACCTTTGATTGTAGTTTCTTGCAACATCATTAGAAAGTTAAAACGGTAAGCCCCAATGGAGACCAAAAATATAACATTGTGTTAGATCATCTAATATGTTGGCAGAAATAAAATTTTCGTCTCTCAAAAGTCGTACAAAATTGAAAAAACCCACAGTATGTATATCTCGTGGGAATACTTTACCTATAAGTATCTAATTTTTAGTCATTATTGCCACTTACCTTGAGTAAATCGCGAAAATATGGGCTGCACGCCGACAGGACGACGCGATGCGCTTTGATGCTGCGCCCCTCGCACGCCAGTGTCACATCGACGAAATCTTCGTCGTCGCGCAGATTCTCAAACGCCGACGTTATGCTGCTTTGGTAGTTGTTCCAGCGCAAACAGAAATGCTGTGTTTCGTCCATTTTTGCGACTGGCTTGACTGTGTCCGCTTCCGTGTCCGTGTACGTATGGGTGTTGCGTTGGCGCTGTTGAGAGCGTCCCCAAAGACTTGCCTTCACTCTTATGGATATGCTGTTGTTATTGTTCTTGTTACTGTGACGGCTATTATTTTGAAATTAATTATGTTTCTCCAACTGATTGCAATTGTTTTCTTTTAGTTGTAGATGTAATTGTAATGTTATGTTGTTTTTGTTTTTACTTTTTGCTGTTAAGAACCGTCTTCTCTAAGTTTTGCTTTTGCTTGTACTTTCCCTTAAGTTTGACTATTTGGGAAGTTTACTTTACTATTTGCGTTTTATGTTTATATTTGTGTAGATATATTTTTCATAAATTTAAATAAACTGCAAAGAGAAAAGACGAAAGTACAATTAGTAAAATGAACACAGTGAAGGATATGCATTGTATTTTAAAATGTAAAATATTCAAAATAATCATAAAGAATTGTGAATCTATTGAAAAAATGAATCACGTCGAGCCGCCTGAAAAAGGGACGCGTCATTTGATACATACTCTCGTATGTAATATGTGTACTATAGAACCAGAATAGGTTTCGAATCGAAGGTAAAAAAATCAATCTTTGGCATATACATAGACTCTCCGAAATAAGGAAAATGTTAGATATTTAGATGGTGTATGAAGTTGTTTTTGTGTGAAGAAATTTATTTCGAGCGCATCTGCTTCGTGTGCAAGTGTCGCACGTCAAGTGGCTTTAAATAGACCCGCAGATTATAAAACGGCCAAAGTGATAAACAAACAATGCATTCGTCGCGTAGAAAATCAAATTAAAATTCACTTTTAATGGGCATAGCAAACAAGTTTTATTTGCGTTGGCCAGTGAGGTTATTGACACTCAAGGTTAGCACTGCTGCTCTTGGCATCCCGAGCGTTCTCTCGAGTACCAGCCGTGTGGTTGAAGTTTTATGCGGATTTATTTTCGAAAAATTCATATATTTTTTTAATTTCTATAGAAATTCAACATTTTATCGCTGCTCAGCAAAGGCTGCAGCTTTCACATACCTACATAAGTGTATCGTGCATTTATTTACATATATGCACACATACAGGCAAGCACTATAAATAATTGTTGGGTTGCAAATTTCGCCTGCGATTTGTCAGCATATTGGTTCTAAGTGTGTTTAGTTTCATTCCATTTATTCTTTGGCGATGACGATTTGTGGTTTTTATGAAAACTAGTCAACAAATTTCTTGGAATACGATGACCAATCTTTTCTCCAATCTTAGAAGCCGCAAACGACAGCCATTTCTCAAATACGGCTATGTTTTAGAAAAAGTTTTGCATAAGTTTTTTACCATATATGTATGTACATTTGTATGTATGAATGTGAGTAGGTACGCAGTACACATAGGAATCTCGACCAATATGTTGAAAGTGAAAAAAGTGTAAGCAGAAAACCATACATACAGTTGGATGACCAAGCAAAAGCAATAAAGCTGCTGCAGCTTTCTAAAAGCTCTGCAGTCGCCGTTTCGAAGTGCTCTTGCAAACCGAAAACTATCGCTATTTGTATCTATGTGATACATTCGCACATGAACGCGCTCTGCGTCTGCGAGTGAGCGAGTAGTTTTGCTGAGCGCTCGCTTCACGTGTGCTGGCAGTGCAGCAAATGCTGTGCGCTTGCCGATTCACAAGCCAGTGCGCATGGCAATGCAGTGGGGGAGCGCACAATACGAGTTGCTCGCGCAGTTTGGCACAGAACGCTTTATATTTCGTTGCGTCAAAAATTGAGCGCAAAGAATGCGATGCCTGACTTTTTACTGCGCTTCACTTGTGTTGGTGGATTTGTCACACCAAAAGTTGCTGCGGAAAGTTTAATTCGCACAAAAACGTAATCGAAAGTCTTCCCGTTTACTATACATAATTGATCAGGGACTTATAATGACTCGACATAAGTATTTTTATTATTGTATTTAGTGTTCAAATCGTTTTCAGCAAATCGAAATAGATGGTAGAACATTTTTTCTTCAATTCATGTAAATTGAAGTTAGTTTTCTTGTTAAGTGTAGCGTTTGCAGAATTCTGCCTACCTGACTGCTGTAGTAGCTTTAGTGGTGGCTGCACGGTTGAAGGAAAAACACTACCGAGCACTTAATAACGCGACCGACGATTAGTGCGACTACTAACTGTAATTACCGAACCCGAATTGTGGCGTTTGCAGTTTTTCAATTTGAATTTTAATACATTTATAAAGTTAAAAAACATATTTTCTGCTTCTAGCACCGTAAGTAGCACGAACTACACACAGATATTCGAGGCACTGCTGAGCGATTCAGAGATACCCTTGGTTTTCAAGGGTCGAAAATACAAATACACTAGGCATAGTTTAATAAAAAAGATCTTCAGAACTTTTTTGATATATTGTTTTTTTTTTAGATAAATATGCAGAACTATTCACTTTTGTTCCAAGCCTTTTAATTATTCACTCATTCACTTTGAGTAGTGATTTCACTTTTTTGAAAGCTATTTCCGATTTGTTTCCTTTAAGCGAGAGTTTGCTTAGTTTGCACAATTGTTTTGGAATTATCTACAGTTGTTTGATTTCAAACAGGGATACGCGTTGACTTGTTCTAGCGAGCGAGCGACCGACCGACCGACCGTACCGATTGTGACCAACAAAGTACGCGCGACAACAAAATTCAACTGTTGCTTGTGCGGCTGCTGCTTTTGCTGCTACTTCTGGCCCGTCTAGCGACTTTAAAAGCGCATTAGGCAATTGCCAAAAAACTATCCAAAAAATACATGCACAGCGGTGCCGCGGACGGGAGGAGGTTCTGGGAATTGAGAGTTCGAGCGCTCGAGCGCGTCCCGATCGGCAACGAAGCCTCATCAAGAACGCGCGGCCGCGCCAGTCACGGCAGCACACAGCAAACGCACAACAATGGCATTTTGACGCAGCAGACATACATGTCGTCGCCGCCACGAGGGTGTTGTTGGCTGCTTAGTGGTATTCGACGCTGCCTGCCGTAGTGAACCCCGCGCGCTGCACCGTCAGCAGCAAGGCCCGTCTGCTCTAGGCTTTCACTAACCGAGCTCTCCCTAATATTAATGCAGCATTTTTATTTTGCGCGGCTAAAGTCGCTTGTTCTGCTTGTTGTTGTATATGTTTTCGATTAGTCGGTCAGTGTGTTAGAATTCTGCATTTCGCTGTGAAATCGCACACGATGCGTGCCAGTGTGCGGCTCACATACACACGGCGCATGTACATGGGTATAAGGATGAGGCGCGTGTATTAGTGGCAGTCATATCTATGGCTACTCCTCTTACCGGTGGCGTTCGGGTACTATTTCACTTGCATGTGTGAGAACTGTCCAAATTTTGCCAAAAAGGCATTATATGCAAAAAAAGGGGTAAAATAAAAAATGAACAACAATAACAATAATCACTTGCAGCTATTCCGCATAGTTCACACAACGCGCAGCTGAGAATGTTTCTCACACATACACACATGGTTTGCTGTGCGGCATTTGCCGCAGCAGTGAAGTGAAAAGCATTTTGCATGTGATTCGAGAACAAACAAAAACAAAGAAAAAACACACAACCAAATATTTTGCAGCCAAAAGAGTTATACTTCGAGTTAAAACAAACATGGATCGATGGTTCTCCACTGTTTCATAAATAAATTTCGAACGTTTGCGTTGACTAAGAAATACCATTTTTTTATTACTTCATGTTCTATATATAAATATATATATACATATATGTTTACTTACGTACATATACATATACATATATACACTATATGGGTCTCAAATAATTTCTCTAAAATAACAGTACATGCTGCAGCGAAGATGCCTGTGTTGAAGTGGAAACGTGAACGAAATCGGTAACTGAACTGCTTAAGTAATGGATTTATCTTTATCAATTGGGAATAGCTGATAGATCTGGATACTTAATAAGAGAACTTCCGAAAAAATATTAATTTCAAGCTTAGTTCGTAATTATTTTCCTTTTAATATATGTAGAAATAATTTGTTAGCCGCAGTTAGTACCTCAAACTACTGAGTGATCTAAACTGCGTCAATCTGTCTCCAATTTAGTTTAGAGAAAACAGATTTTAAAGAATTTAGCATTCACTCAAGTATACAGATTTTGCTTTTTACGAATGGAGAGATACCAGAGCTTAAAACAGATATCAGAGATGCATAACACTGCTTAAAAAATCAGTGCTTTTCGTTCGAAAATAGTTATTATAAATCGTAACTGGCTTATCATTCGTCAATCTAGCTGTTGGGGAGTGGACCCATTGCGTATTCAAACCGCAGAACAAAGAACCAGCGAAGTTTATAGACGCCAATAAGTACAGCAAATGCTCACATACAAAGACATATGAATGTCTACGAGAATAGTTCCAAACATTCTGCCATACTCGAAAAGCTGTAGGCAAGGCATGCGCGGGGTATAGACGCAAAACACACCCGCACTCGCATAAAGATGACTGTTTTCTGGCAGAATTTATTACTTGTTGTGTTTCTATGCCATTGGTGTTGTTATTGGATGTTTGACGGCGCTTGTTTATTCGCTCATATTCCATTGTCGCCCAGCTACCTAGAAATAGCACCGCACATCCATAGAAACCGCGTACATATGTCTCTACTGAGCAGACAATGCTCTTATGCGAGTGTGTTTGTTGGTGTGCGACAGTCTGTTTGCACTCAACCTCACGTCAAATGCTATTTTCAAGGTTAAATTTTAGTTTTGCTCACAAAGAATGAGAAAAAGCTTCTTTATCGTCGTAGTGGTTCGCAGCTGTTTCGTTTTAGTTTCGTTGTAGTGACGCGTTCGGACCCAAAATAAAACAAATTCGCTCGCCCGATGCCAACCTATTCTCCGCAATACACTATCACTAAATGGGGCACTGGGTAATGGGGTTGGCAGAGTGGGGTAGGGCAAGCGAGCGCACGAGCACATGTGAGCAAGTGTTTGTGTGTAGTGATTGAATATGAGATGACGTGGTTGTGCGAAAATAGTTGAGGGACAAAATAGAAAAAATAGTAAAGCAGTAGATAGGCGAGCGCAGGGAAATGAATTTCACCATAGTATTACCTCTGGCTTTACCTGAACGTATGTATGTACGTATTTGTCGACAAACATTTGGTTATGGTGTGTGTGAGAACGTATTTAGGCAGCGCTTTTGGCGTGTGTGTGGTCGAAGTGCGTGCCAAAAAAGGGGCTCGTCTGTCTCGTGAACGCGTAATTTTTCGCATTTTTGCAAATGTGTTTGGAAGCGTGTTAGAGTGCGTAGCAGCGAGACCCCAGTCTGTTCGGCCTATTTTTTGTTTTATCTGAGCAATGGAATTCGACTTTACACATGTGCGTAATTTG